GAATGCGGAAATTTTCGTACGGGATTCTTCAATTTCCTCCTGTTTTAATTTCAGTTCCTATAATGGTAGTTTTCGGTTAGAATACACACAACATTGAGAATGAAACGAATTTATTGATAATCAACCTCAATCGCATCATTATTCGCTTTTCTGATTGATTCGATTTCTTGTTCGAGAGAGTCACGATGTTCGATCTCGGCATTAATTTCATCCTTTGTTTTTTGCAAAATTTCATTATGTGAAGATCTTAATTCGTCAAGTTCTTTCTCGTGGGTTGCTTTCAACTCTTCTATGATAGAAGGGGAAATTGTTCGTTTCATGTTTTCATCATGTGAAGATCTCATATCATTAAGCTCTTTAGTAAATGATTCAAGCTTCATTTCATGACTCTTTTCTAGATTCTCTAGTTCATGTTGATGCTTTACTTTGAGTTCTTCAATTTCTACTTCGAGCGCTTTCACTAAATCAGACACAACATTATTCCGAACTGTTTCCAACTCTTGACTATGCAACTCCTTCAATTTTTCGAGTTCTGCAAGATGCTTTTGGATGAGATCCTGCCAACGAAACAAAACAAACGACGTTTAGAATTTCTATATATATACTATATGTAGTACAAAATTTTTACCTCGTGCATTTTTGATGATTCAACTTCTTGAGAGTTCTGAGAACTTAATTGAGCCCTAAGGTCTTCGACTTCCTTATTGAGGTGCTCAATTTGGCGATTAAAATTTTCTACCTTTTGTGAGTGTTCGGAGTTTAAAACAGCATGCTCTCGGACGGCCGCATCATGTTTAGCCTCGAGGTTTTGGCGAATTGCAGCTAACTCTTGATTATGGAGTTTCTCCATGTTCTCGACTTGCTTGTCATGCTGTTGAGTGAGAAAGATCTATGAAAGGTGAAAATAAACAACGGTTAGGATAGACATGCGACCTTTAATTTAATACAAACATGAAAGTAATAAATAAAATGCCTGGAATTCATCTTTGGCTCTTTTAATTGCTTCATCGCGTGCATCTTTAAGCTCTTGTAACTCTCGGTCATGCGCTCTCTTAAGTTCATTAATCTCATCCTGATGATTGACCTTTAACGATTCAACGGCAACAGCAGTAGTGCCTTCCTTGTTAGACTTGAAAAAATAGATGAAAATGTCAACCGTGGAAGGAATATAATATAACAAAATAAAGAATAGTTATCATTACCACAAATTGTTCCAAAGCAGTTGAATGTTGTGACTTAATGTTATCCAATTCTTCCTTATGTCGATTTCCAATTTCTTCTACCTCTTTCTTATGGCGACTATTAAGGGCCTAAGAACA